GGATGATACGGATCTTTAGAAGATCAAATAATCGAAGCATTCCCTATGTAAGTAATGTTAATTGGGCAATAACATTACATAATAGACATGATGAATGCCTCTATTGAATATCATGTGATGGTATTAGTGTGGGTGATTATAAGAGTTATGTCACTAGGGCATTAGCATGGACAAACAGTTAGTGAACTATTTATTGAATATGACTGATTACGATGAATCACAAGGACATTTAGAATGTGGTCAATGATACATCGTAGGATCGTTCTAGTGTACCACTAATCCTTAGACTTGAGACATCACGGTTGGACTCGATATAGGATGCATATGATCCATATGGTGTATATACACAAGACTAGTATGTTTTGTCTAAGAAGCCAGTTTGGTCATATGTTATTCATGTGAGAGGACAAGTGATGGTCAAGATAGAATCCATTGACTCGAAATGGTTTGGTCCCGAGTTCCCAAACGAATGTCAATAAACATTGGAAAAAGGAAATCTCTCGCCAGAGTACAAAATAGTCATATGAAAATGAGTTTCATGATGACATGTTTCATTGTATTGATTGACAATTCGGATAAAGATTAAGTTAAGGGTTTTGACATACCATGAAACTATACTTAATCAGGATTAGACGACATAGGGATTTTACTACATAAAATGTACGATCGGGAAAAAAAAGGTTCATTGGATTGTGGCTTAGGGGTTATGGAGTATTGCTAGATGCCTACCATGATCGGTGGGAGTTTTGATTATAAAGAGTTATGACGAAACATATCGGATTACAATATTAGGCCCAAAGTTAGGTTACAGTGAACCTAAGTGGTCACACCTAAAAACCAAGTATGAGAAGAGACAGTATTACATATCGTTAAAGGTTAATGATATTCAGATGTAAACTTGTGTATCCGAATATATGTATTGGTGAGAAATGATTACTCATGGGAAGCTAGCACTTACCAAGGGTAATAAGGTAATTTGGTCATTACTGGATTAGATTCAATTATAGACTAAAATATATTATTGAATTGGATTCAGTAATGAGTCAAATATTAAATGGAATTATTTTATATGCCTTGATTATAAATTTGTTTAAATCAATGATTTAATATTAAGGAGTTAATATTAAATTGAAATTGTTTCAAGGACTTAGGATCAACAACGATTTAATATTAAGAGTTAATATTAAATTGAAATTGTTTCAAGGACTTAGGATCAACAACGATTTAATATTAAGAGTAAATATTAAGTTGAAATTAGTTCAAAGACTTGAAAACAATATTGAATTTGTATTAAGTGTTAATATAGGATTCATATTAATTCAAGGATTTGAGAGCAGTTTCAAATTATTGCAAAATGGTCATTGTATATAAATAAGTGATATTCTCAAAATTTATCTAATTTTCTTTTTGATTGAAAATCTCTCTCTTGAGCTCTCATGGCCGGCTCTCTCTTCTTCATCATGCGGTGGACTTTATTTGGAGGATTTTCACCAAATTTGTTGAAGATTTGAACTCATTTTCAAGTTACAAAAGTTGTAAAGCATAAAAGGTAACAATTTAAGCCTTTTAGTTTCAATAACATGTCATATGACCTTATACCATGTTTTACACCAATTTTACCCTTTCTAAGTATGAATTCTTACAACAACTTTGTCTACTTTGGTGACTTAGAAAATGGTTGAAGGTATTCCTAACTGCTCAATGAGTTTCAGGTTCTGTGAGGAGTGTTTACAAGGCAAGCAGAATCGGGTCAGTTTTCAATCGACAGGCACAAGAGCAACAAAAATTATGGGATTAATTCACAATGACGTCTTCGGGCATACTCTAGTGGAATCTGTTGGTAAATCCAGGTATTACGTATCTTTAATTGATGATTTATCTAGACACTGTTGGATTTTGACAGGAAGATTAAGGCATTGCGAACTGATAACAGTGGTGAGTTTTGTTCTAGTAAATTTGAGATGTTTTATGTGACACATGGAATTGCAAGGCAAAAAACTATACCTTACATGCCTCAGCAGAATGGAGTGGTTGAATGTCTCAATCTAAGAATGTTAGAGAAGGCTAGGTGTATGTTGAATACAATGGATTTGGGGTTTGAATTTTGGGCCAAAGATACTACAATTGCTTTTTATTTGAATAACCAGTCTCCCACTTTTTCTGTTAAAGACATGACGCCGTATGTAGTCTGTATGGTAAGAAGCCTAATCTATCTTTTATTCGGGTTTTTGGTTGTGATGCGTTTGTGGATATGCCAAAGGAAAAGAGAAGCAAGCTCGACAGTAAATCTGAGAAATGCAAGTTTGTGGGGTTCAAAGATGGCATCAAGGGGTACAAGTTGTGGAATCCCGTGAATAGAAGTAGTATCTGCAACAAAGATGTAACCTTTAGAGAGGTAAAACAACATGTGGGAGCTCTCAAAGATGTTGAATAGTCAAAGAGAGTTCAGTTTGATGTGACTGCAATAGATCAAGAGGAAGAGGTAATTACTAATGTTGTTGTAGAGATTGATAACTTAAAGCGTACGGAATCTAATCATGAAGATCAATTTGATAGTGTGGTTGATGAGGGTTCTCTGGATGGTTCAGAGGATGATTCTGATGATGAAGTTCTGGTGCCACAAACTTTGAGGAGATCTACAAGGGTTAGAAGGGCATCGATTTGTTACTCTCTAAATGCTTTGAGTGGATTGCATGCTTTGGATGTGACCCGTGATGAACCTAAGAATGTAAATAAAGCAAGAGCCATGGAAGATGCAAATTTGTGGGAGCTTGTGATAAATGAGCAAATGCAGTCACTAGACAAGAATAGTACATGGGTCCTATGTAAATTGCCTAAGGATGGAAAGGCGATTGGTTGCAAGTGGTTGTTCAAAAGAAAGTTGTAGATAGATGGAACAATTGCAAAGTATAAGGCGAGGCTCGTTGCAAAGGGTTTCTCGTAGATTGAGGGTGTTGATTATGGTGAGATTTTATCATCTATGGCCAAGTTAACATCAATAAGGTATGTTTTATCTATAGTTGTTGTGCACGGTCTTGAAATTGAGCAACTGGATGTAAAGACTACATTCTTACATGGAGACTTGGAGGAGGAAATTTACATGAGACAACCTGAGGGGTTTGTATGCAAAGGGAAGGAAGATTTAGTGTGTAGGTTGAGGAAGTCTGTGTATGGGCTTAAACAGTAACTAAGGATGTTGTTGGACCCAAAATATGGCTATAAATATTCCTAGAGGGGGTGAATAGGAATCAATAAAAATGTTCATGGAATAAAACTTGTCAATAAAAGATAAGGCAAATAATAAATGTATCTTAACAAGTTTAATAACTATGCTCCAAATGATGACGAAGTTATGAACCCTAAGTGAGTTCAAGAAATAGCAATAAATGCACCAAACATGTAGACAATAAATATGAGCTATAAATGCATGAACATATGAGGTTAATGATGTTCAACTCAACAAATAAGCAATGTAAAACAAAAAGTTGAGAGAGAGAAATGCTTAACAATTTATAGTGGTTCGGAGCTATTTTCACAAGCCTCCTGCATCCACTTCTTCAAGGCAACCTCCTTGAAGTTTCACTAGAATCATATTTTGCCCATACAATAGTTTTCACAAGAATTTTCATCTCACACACATAGATTTACAATATTGCACCTAGTTTTACAGGATTTCACCATCAAGGAAATGATCTAAAATTGTTTGTGACTGGGTGCCTCTTTCAATTAGGCTTATACACACAATAAGAACAAATGATCTCTCAAAGGTTTACAAGATGAGTACAAGTGAGAGTATTGATTTTGATTTTGAGCTCTAGGGATTATATTAGAGCATCTCCAATGGTACTCTTTATTTTGAAGAGCATCTTTCATATAAATAAAGAACATCTTGATTAATTTTTAAATATAAAGAACACAATTTTTATTCAAATCCAATAGACTCTTTAAATTTAATGAAGATGCTCTTTAATTTATATTTTAAAGATAAAGAGTCTATTGGACTCTTGTTTTTATGGATAAACTCTTTATATTAAAGAGTTTGGGTCATATAAAGAGTCATTTGGAGATTCTCTTAGGATGTTTTTCTTATCTCTTCTTTGTGAAATAACCTAGGAGCATCGAACTTTTATAACTCAAAAAGAATTAATCGTTGCAGCATTTAATGTAATTCTGATAAAGCCTGTATAACCTAGAGGAATGGTCGTTCCATAATCGAGAACGGTAGTTCTTGATACAATGATCATATTTTTCAGATCTAGGTCAACTGGAATGGTCATTCCACCACACCGTATGATCGTGCAAGACTACTAAACAATCATTCCACCATGCGGAATGATTACATCTAGATGTTCTTCCAAATCTTTTTAAATTTCCAAAGGAGCAAACGACCTCTTGGAATAATGTCGTGCAAAACTTCTTCAAATACGAACGGTCATTCCACCACAAGGAATGGTTGTTCCAATGTTGAACTTTGAGTTTTGACTTTTGACCTTTGAGATGAAGTCAAGAGCGCGAAGTATTCTGGATTTGAATTATCTTGACTTTTGAACTTGGGCGCATAGTCGTGCGAGTGCAATCTGGTCGTGTGAGTGCCACTTCAAAAAATTGGCAGCGTGACTAACAACCAAGAGGAACGATGTCATGTTATATTTTACAGCAACTATCTCTTAAGAAACAGTTGTGCCTTGATCACGCACGGTCATACCTAAGCAAAAATTTTCGTATGCATGATTGAACCACTTGTGAGACCTGTTTTGGTTTGCTTATGACTTGAGTCATACCTTAGCATGTTATGGTTAGTGTTCAATCAACTTTTTGGATAGTTTTGGCACATAAAAACATATGAGAGGTCAACATATGTGGTACCAAAAGTTCGACTCTTATGTTCTTTCGCATGGTTTTAGTTGTAGTTACGTGGATCACTATGTGTATGTAAAAAGGTTAGAAAATGTCTTTGTTATTTTAACCTTATATGTAAATGCTACAACGATGTTGAAGAAATGACACATGTGCCATCTGCTAGTGTTGTGGGTAGTTTGATGTATGTCATGGTGTGCACGCGACCTGATATTGCACGAGCAGTGGGAGTTTTAATTCGCTTTATGTCTAATCTTGGCAAGAAGCATTGTAGTACTGTAAAGAGGGTTCTTAGATATCTATGTGGGCCCTCGAATTTAGCATTATACTATGGGGGCATGGTGACTAGGGATGAGCTGAATGTGATAGGTTTTGTGGATGATGATTGGAGAGGTGATCTCGATAATAGGCATGCTACAAGTGGGTATGTATTCTCTTTATTTGGTGTCGTTGTTTGTTGGATGAGTAAAAGACAAATTACCGTGGCTTTGTCATCAATTGAGGCAGAACACATGGCATTGACACATCCTGGCAAGGAAGCTATATGGCTTCGAAGATTGAGTTTAGAGCTTGGTTTCAAGCTTGATGCTGTGAAGATAGGGTGTGATAATCAAAGAGTGATAAGAGCTTGAAAATAAATGCTTTGTTAGTGATTCAATTGGACTATTTGTAGAAAAATGTGTTTTTATTGTGAAATTTGAGTTAATTATTTCATAAATACCTTTTATAGGATCACGAGATGTATTTTGAGTATTTTTAGGTTAAAAATGATATTTGAATGAATAAGAATGATGTCGATGGAATTTGTGATGAGTAGGAACAAACGGTGCAAGAATAAGAGTTGAAACGAGAAAGCTGTGACGCGTTGAAGATGAGACTTAAAACCTGGAAACTCTTCAAGATGGGCATGCTTCGATGTTTAAATTCATAACTTGACCTGTAGAAATCTAAATTTCATGATTCTTGTGGCATTGGAAGTATTATTCAAAGAGCTACAAAGTTCGTGTTGATGACTTCACCAAGTTCTGAAGATTCCAGACTCATGGGACAGAAAGAATGATCGTCGCAGCAACCATTTCTATCGCTACAACGATGAATTGCGGGCCTGTTTGGGTTATTTTATTTTCCTAGTCCGAATTTGAATTGTTTAAGGCATTTAATTCTTTCCTCATTAACCTCCAAACCTTAGCACTATAAATAAAGGTCTTTAATTAGTTTTTAAGGGGATTAGAGAAGAAGAGAAAGCGACTACTATTTTGGAGATCATAATTCTTGCAGTTTTCATTCATTAATTAGAGAAGTTTTTTTCTATTTTTCTTTATTGAAATCATGTTTGTTAATACAATGGTTGTTTTTATTACTGCAATTATGAACTAAATTTCTTTTCTAGGTTAAAGATGTAGCCCAATTTATGAATATGTGTTAATTTTATTATTGTTAATTTTAATTGAGCATTAATTCTAAATTTTATTATTGTGTGTAATGCTTTCAATTCTTAAGGACCCGAGAGTTGAATGACTTTATAGGTTAGGTTGAGATCGAGAGATGAAACCTGATTAGTCTAAGGTAATAAAACTATAGATTAAGCTAACGCTAAAGATGGGTTACTGCGATCTGTGAGGCTCTGGTAAATTCTATAGAACTTATTGATCTTTTAGCTTCTAAATCCACTTTAGAGATATTTTGCGTTGTTGCTTAAGGGTTAATTTGTTAATTGTTTGAGAGAAAGTTAGTGAAATATTAGGGAGTTTGGCCTTTAGAATAAGCTTAATTATGTTAGCAATAATTGTCAATGCATAAGATTAAATTTGTGTGAAATATGTGCCCTATATTTAGTCTTATTGATCTTTTCACCAAAGTATTAATAAAATTCTTCTTTTGTTTAGTTTTTAGTTTATTTTATTTTTCATTAAATTATTCTTAAAATTATGTTTTATCAAATAATAATAAAATATATTAGTTCGATACTTGGTAAGTAATTCTCTTAGGATTCAATACTCGTTTACTCGAGCTTTACTACTTGCGCGATTTCAAACACTTGCAAATAACCTGTCAAGGGGCTATTTACTTAGCCAAGAATCCCACTTTTCATTCGCGGTCAAAACACATTGATATATAATACCATTTCATCAGGCAATAGTTGGAGGAAAAATTGGTGTTGTTAGAGAAGGTTAATACACTTGTTAATGCTGCAGATTTTCTTACCAAGTTTGTAAGCTTAGCAAAGTTTACATGGTGTGTTAATAAGATAGACCTTCATTGTATGAAGTATTCATCAAGTGGGAGAATGTTGGAGTTGTCGACTCCTTCAGCATTAAAACTCCAACTCCTTCAGCATTAATGGATATGTATTTACTCTTGCTAAAACTCCAGTAAGTTGGAAATCTTCTTTATAGTTTATAATTGTTTTGTCTACTATAGAGGCAGAATATATGGCAGTTAGAAAGGCCGTAAAGGAAGCTATTTGGTTATAAGGACTATTGGAAGAATTGAAGATTAGTCAGAAGAAGATCACTATCTATTCTGATAGTCAGAGTGCTATTCACTTAGCAAAGAATCTTGTATTCCACATTCGCACCAAGCATATAGATGTTCGTTACCACTTTGTGTAGGAAATCTTTAGTGAAGGAAGAATTTGCCTACACAAGATTAGGACTGCTGAGAATCTCACAGATATGTTAACGAAAGTAGCAATCATGATCAACATCCTACGAGCTTGACTACGCCATTTGGCGCATTTGAAGGTTTGCTAATTCATCGAGGTAGAGATCTGTTAGAAAGATGGCTCATTAGCAAAATCTCACATCGGGTAGGAATGAAAATGGAGAAAGGTTAAGGGACCTATGTAATAACTGCTTCATACTAGGATACGTATAGAAATACATCACGTAAATATATTTATATTAGCAAAAGTCAATGGGCCCACAATTTTCTTTTAATACATTTAATCATTCTTTATACAAAGTAAGGCATCATAAGTAAAGGTTATCAAAAACAGTGGACAGTGTAGCTATTACTCCTCGCTTGCCGATGCCCATCCGACCGCGTCCTCACCTAGATCCTTCAAACCAAAGAAAAACAACGGGGTGAGCACAAAATAATGCTCAGTGTAAATCCTCTACTCGTCTATCCCCGTAACTCTTTCTCTTAATTCTTTCCTTACACTCTTCTCATCTCATTTATTTTCTCTTTCTATTTCTCTTTCACATAGCTCTTTTCTATTAACTTTCTGTTTATGTCATGGCCTCATCTTACCAGAGGCACGGCTGAGTGGAGATCACAAAGCACCCACCCACTCTTCGTGACTTCTACTCTTTCTCTTCCTCTATTCTTCTTATATTTTCTTATTCTTTCTCACTGGAATGTCACGACTCCATCTTACCGGAGGCACGGCCGGGTGGAGTTCACAAAGCACCCAACCCACTCTTCGTGACTTCCGTTGGAGTTCACAAAGCACCAACCCATTCTTCGTAACTTCCGGTTGGAGTTCACAAAGCACCAACCCATTCTTAGATTTTCTCATTCTCTTTACTTTTAGAGTAGCCCATTCACAAAGTTTCTACCTTTCTCAAACTACTTCTCAATGCACAATTTATGCATAAGGAGGTTCATGCTTAAAGTTTCTTACTTAATGCACTTTTGAAATGCACAAAATGCAATATTGCACAAAACTGTCATTCTGCGCAGGTCACACTCAAAAGGCATAACTTGGAGTTATACACCTCGGATTGCTACGGTTTTGGTCTTGTTTTAAAGCTTAGAGACAGGACTAACTTTTATGTTTTGGTCTAAACCCAGTTCAATCCGTAAGATGCCCAAAAATCACTCAAAAGTCACGGCTGTGACGGGCAGTTTGGTAACATGTTTTCACTTAGGCATTTCATCAAACATAATTGTGCATAAACAAATCCTAATTAAATTATCATTCTATTTATTCTCAAACCATCCAAATGAGAGAAAAACTCTCTTGTAGCATCACATACCTACATGGCAAACACACCCACAAAAATTTCTCCATCTCTCCAATTTCAACCCATCATCAAATCATCACATATACTCTCATATTCAAATTATCCAACAACAAGCTATATTCATCATCAATCTCATCTCAATTCTCAATAATCAAAACATATGCATATTTAGAAGAAATCTCTACTCACTTGAATTCTTAAATTTTAGCTTGAGTTGGATTTTGAGTGAATTTACTTACCTTGTGCTTGAGTAGTCTCTCCTAATCTCTATTCTTGTTGGATTCTAATCTTCTCTTAACCCTAAGCATAAACTTCATAAGAACTCAAACTTTACACAAATAAATCATAGATAAGAGCTTGATTCCTTACCTTTGGATGCCTTGAATCAAAACCCTTGAAATCTACTCAAAAGCCCTCAAATTCCTTGAAAAGTGAATGAAAACTTGAGAGAAAAAAGGAGGGAGTGTGGGGGGTGGAATGAACGAAAATGAGGGTTTCAAACCCTAACACTTATTTTATAACCACACTTTCCCATTTTGCCCTTGCTCTTTCTTAGAAATTCCATCTATGTCCCTTAGTCAATTACAATAATGCCCTCTTTTAATGCATTCTCTATTAAATTCTATCTCTTTTCACTCCCCACAAGTTCAACTAATTTTGACTGAAAAGACCATTTTACCCTAATGAAAGTTTAAGGGATTTCTTTACATTTTTCGCAAAATAATTTAACAAAAATTCAACTAAGGGCCAACCAACCAATATAAACAATATATCGACCCAATAAAAACAAACAAAACATTTAAGCAAACACCATAACTTAACTATGTACCTCAAGTGGCGTTACAACCTATAAAAATAGGCCAAGATTCGTAAGTCCTACATTGGTTGGAATGAAAGTGGAGCAACTTTTGGGGCCTATGCCATGGTATATGCATCTCAACAATATTTCCACTTCATCCTTCTTATATATGATTCTTTCACTAAGGACCCTTTAGTTGAAAATTTTTGTTGTATCTCTTTGTTTTGGGTAATTGTTTATATTCTATATAGCTTGGGTATTTATGTATTGCCCAAAAGTTTGTTATATTCTTTAGAGATATAAAGTTTTTTTTTTTTGCAACGCCCGAAATGTAAGTAACAATACCGAACCTCGTAAATTCCTAGTATTATTATTTTGACTATTTATTTCTGTTTTAGTCGTTGTTATTATTATATTTTAATAACTAACGTTAGAGTATATGTTTCTGTTACCCAACAAAAACCTTCACATGCCAAAATTTCAGCAAAGATAAACTTGTTAATTTTAAAGGATAATACTATCTGTTTATTATGTGCTAAGAACTAGAATTGGTTGCTGGAAACTTTGATTTGATTTTTTCAATTCAATGGTCGAAAGAGTTGGACAGATTGCATTTAGCAGGAAGCTGAAATGCTTGGGTGGAGTCTATTCTATAAAAAAGTCAACAACCTGGAGTTCTTGCAGGCTGAAAGCATTTTAAGTTTGCCTTGGATAAGCCCGAAGAGCGATTATTGAGATAAATGGAAAGACAAAAAATCAACAAGAAATTAAAGAGAACTTTCTGAGGGCTTTACAGCCAGCTTTTTGTACATACCAAAGCCTTTTTCAAGTCACGTCCAGGCCATCACTTAGAAATATTAGAAAGCTCAGAACCCAAATGGCAAGTATTTGAGTAAACAAGGGCGTAGATATAGAATAGCCAAGAAATCTCGTGCCATTCTTGCAAGTGCTGGATATTTTGAGGAGTTGGTGCGCCACCAAGCTAATATATCAAACTCTTCAACTGCAGGAATTTTAGCCTCATTTAAGTAGAGATCTAGTTCTGAATTTGAAGATGGAGAAGGCCTCCCCAGGTGTCTAGCATCCTTGGAACTTTGGCGTATTCATTGTAAACATTAGTGACTTCAATCATAATTTTCTTGAGACGATTATTCGCATCCCTGCCATAGAGTTCCATGTACCAACCAACTACAATTTCCGTCTTGAATCGTGGATCAAGAATCACTGCAATTACTAGAACCAAGTTACATTTACTCCAATATGTGTCAAAATATTTCTCTCTGATGGATGATGCAATTTCGCAAACATAATAATTGTCACTTCCTTCCCATTGAAGACACTTCATATATGTCACAAACCTTGGGGAAATATACATTTGCAGTAGTATATTTGCTCCTCCAAAGTTATCAGCAACATCTTTTAACCATTTGCACACTCATATGCCACAGTTGCCTTATACCATAGCTCATCCGTTAAATTTATTAACTTGAAATCAGGATCTATCTGTTCAAGCTCACAAATGCTTCTTTAAACCCCAATGCACTCTCAGCACTCTAATTCATCGAAATCGACTTCTTAGGAAGGCCTTGAGAAGTCACTCTCTTGCCCATGGACTTGGCTTTATTTACCGCAACTCGGAAATTATTTTCATTTGATAGTGTCTCACGGACGTAGTTAAACAACTTCTTTATTTCACTAAGCAAGCCTGCCATCCAATTCGGTCCATTCTGAACATTCCGTTTAAGCTTATTAACTAGCCAATCAATGGGTAACAAATGCCCATTGAAAGGAAGTACAGCTCGTTCACCGATCCATAAGTTAATGAAATAGAGATCCAAATTGTTTTCACAAATACCTGTGACCGTAGAGCATATATTCTTGTCAACATTTAGATCCACAAGTAGACCTTTAAGAACATCTGAGGACTCCCTTTCACACCTTTCGTATGCGAAATCAATAATCTTTTGTTTCAATACCCAATTATCATCAATAAAGTAGAGCACGATCAAAATGGACTCCATATCACACAACTCAAATTTCAAATGGAAATGACAGGACAGTTGATTGAGATATCCACGAAGTTTTTCCTTCTCTTCTTTGTAAACATGGAGTATGTTGGCCTTTATGGACTTCAGTGATGAAAATCCATACTTAATGATCATTCGTGCCTCTTGATCAGTCACAGTTTTTTCTTTGATAACAATTGGAGCAATTAAATCATTTGTTTCAACAACTGCACCTTCACCTGGATTTTTGTTACCTCGACAGCATCTTTCTAAATGATTTTTCAGATGTGTGGTTCCTATTTGGCTTGAACCATGAAACTTCATCTCACAATGTTTGCATATAACCCATTCTTTCCCATCTTCTTTATGTTTTATGAACTCCTTCCAAACCTTTGAATTCAACTTTCTTCGTTTAGTACGTGACAAGTTCTTCAAATTCACCATCTCATTGTCATGATTTGAAGTAGGTTCAGAACCAACATTTTGTTCTCTAATTTGGATGATTTCCTGTCAAGATCACACAAACAAGTTATTATATTCTAACTGTGCTGGACTTTGCTAGTATAGAGCTCCCCAAAAAGGTAATTTCAACGGTGACATGACCCATTCGCTTGTATTGAATTCTCACTGACAAAAGCAGAGTTGAGAAAATAAATATATGCTATTGAATAAACTACCGTCTCTCTGTTTCGTATTTTTGGAGACAAAATGTGTTGCGGCTTATCAAATTTTGAAGTCAATATATGTACCAGTATTCACTGTGATCAGATTATCGAGATTCAAAAGCGGGACGCGAAGCACTTAAATTTACAGAGAATTGATCTCATATATAGTTTCAATAATACTAAACTCACTAATGCCATCTCACTAACCCCTCTCACTAATCCCATGTGAGAGTTTGTGATTGGCTTGGTTAAGTGGGATCCATTATTGGATAGACAAGTCCCATGTAAACCGACGAATTGTGAGCTGACATGTGCCGTTAATGAGAAGTGTTAATGACTGTAATGTTACTCATATAGTTTTGGTGTACAGCAAACTTGAAATAAAGCGAAAAATACAGGAAATCCAGAAATACTTCACTTCCAGAGCTATATGAAACAAGTTCAATCTTTGTGAATTTGAATACTTCATGTACCCATTCTGAGTCTCATTAATCTCAAGAGAAATCCCAACACAAAGATTGACTTAGGATTCGTTAATAATCAGAGAAAACAGACTTTTGTTTCAGAGATTAGTACAAAACATAGAGAACTTTTGCATTTACTACACTACTTAATCTCTATGGAGCAAAGAAGTAAATATTCCTCTGATTAAATTCAGAAATTCAAATTAAAAGTAGAGAGAGAGAGACCCACCTGATCATGATGTGTAATTGTTTCAACTTCATCACCATTACTTGTTTGGAAATAAATCGTTGATGCTCCTTCGGCCGATTGAAGGGTTCCACCAGGCCAAGACATCATCAAAGCAAAAATATTTTTTCTAAAAGTGCAATCAAAAAATTCACCAGAAAATTAAATTAAAGCTAGTTAAAATACTTTCTTGATTATGCCTGCAGGCTGCAATTATATTGACATGGATCCTGCAAATGAGCTTAAAAATTTTGCAGATGATGGTGAAGAAAGTCAAAAAGAAGTATAAGTGGCTGGAATTTTCAATTTACTGTTTGTGGCAAATTGTCATCACGGAGATCCTGGGTTACCTCTTGGTTCTTGGGCTGGGTTAAGTTTACTTTGAGCTTATCCGCTGTTGGGTCATTCTTTACAACATAGTAATTCCTTTCGGTGAGAATCAGTCATTCTTTTATATAAGGGACGGTCGCTCTTTCATATTATTTTCTATGGAGAAACGGTAATTTTTATGGTCTAACCAAAATTATTTTACACCTTTAGTGATAGAGCTAATGTGATAATGCAAACTCAATTATCACGTTAAAATTATAAAAAAAGTTTGTAAAAATATGTTGTCGACATAACTTTACTCAAAAAAGTATATTCTTCTCTCTCTACTTTTATTTCAAAGTTTATATATGTAGTTTATTAAAAATTAAAAGAAATTTAGATCAATCGAAAATTAAAATTTCACAAGTAAATTAAAGCTTATAATATTTATAAAATTACTTAATATTTCTCCTTTACAAGAGGAATTAATGTTTAGATCATATTTCTTTCTTATATAAAGCAAACACAACAATCATTTATTTTCTTTTTCTAAGTTTTATAACCAGGAAATAAGTAAAACTTAAATCACATAAAATTTTTATGTTAGTTTTTTTAGTATTTTTATAGAGTCATAAGAAATTTAAAAGATTTTAAATGTTAAGCAAAATAATAAACATGTTCATATATCCTTCATATAATTTTTTTTAATATGAATAAAAATCAATTTTTATTAATACTATTATATCCTCATATAAGATAGAAGATGGAGGCTTACAATTTACATTATTTTGGCCCTTATCCATTGTCAGGTCTTTCTTTACAGAGTAATGCTATAGTTACCGATGGGTGTGCACCGAATTTGTGTATCGAATAACGTAGCAAAATCTTGACCGTTAATTCATTATAAGTTAATATTAATAAACGGTCAGGATTTTGCTACATCATTCGGTGCACAATTTCGGTATACACTTTTCGATAACTCTATCATTTTTCTTCTTTACAAGATGGGTTTGCATTTGCAGCACTCCTATGTGGTTTAACCTTTTTAGACCCCATCTTTTTATTCATCAACTCCCATTATTTTAATTATTTTTGTTTTGACAATTCTAACTTTAATAAGATTACTATAAAGGACAATATTTCTTTTTTAACCCTAAATATTCAATTCTTACATAAACTCTAAACCTAATTTTACATATCAATTATAATTTTTAATCTATATCAAATCTTCAAATTATTTTAAGTATATTTTTTTTTTTAAGCCTCTTTTGCCTTATGCTTCCAACAATTTCACTACCTCTTTCATCTAAAATCACCAGATAACTGTAGATTAGGAATTGCCAATCCTAATGGAATCGATTGTGGCTGCACTGCAATGTGCCATCATTGACCGCAGTCAATGATGCTTTGACTAGAGGTGTTCAAAAGAACTGATTGGAACCGAAACTGACGGGTACTCGGAGTTTGGTTCCCGTTCTTACTTGGAACCGGCTGTCAACGGGTAGGTTCCGGTTCCAAATTTTTGGAATCGTTACTGTGCAGTTCTGGTTCCTATAGTTAGGAACTAGAACGAGAACCGAGAACCGAGACTGATATAAAATAAAATTAAAGAGTATTAGGGTTAATAAAAACTTTTGTAGAAAAAGTAATGTGAATACATTTATATTTATATTTCATAACATTTAAAGTAAGTTGGTTTAACTTTTGAGAATCTACCTTTGTTTGTAATGGAGTTTGTAATTTTGAATTTATAATTTGTAATTTTATTTTTGTTAACAAGTGCCAAGTTGGGGGGGGGGCGGGCGGGGGGGGGGGGGGATAGTATTTGCAAGTTTTTAAGGGTTTTTTTGCCATTTAAAAACTTTTGGGGGGGGTCCTCTGTAAATTTTAAAGGGTACCCAGAACCGGAACTGTTGTTATAGGTTCTGGGTACCTAGGAACCGGAACCGGCGATTCCTTAAAATTTGGAATGGTTCTAGTTTTGGTTCCAAATTTCAAGGAACCGTCGGTTCTGATTCTGGTTCCTTCAAAAAATATAGGGTACCCGAAACCGAACACTCCTAGTTTTGACACATGTTGATCGAAGATTGACCACCGCTAGTTATATCAATATATCTTTTAAATTATTAATTAATTAAAATTTTATTTAATATAAATTATTTCAACACATTTTTAAATCTTTGTCAAAATACAAATTTTGAATTATAAAAATATTTTAAGATATAAAATACCTTTTTTAGTCATAATGCATAGAACAACAATTTCAAATCTAATTATAAAAGTAACATTTACCAAACATATTATAAATTAAAGTTGGGGAAAATGTGATTAAACTTAAAGTTACAACAATCTCAAACACATTCTGAAAAGAGTACTACTCTATTCACAACCTTTTTATACAAACATTCTCTCGCAAACTTATGTGACAAAAGATGATTGGATGATTTTAAATTTAAAATGAACTTTCACCCAATCATCTTTTACCACATAAGTTTGTGAGAGAAAATTCGTATAAAAAAGTTGTGCGTGTACTATTATTGCTCTAAAAATCGAAAGTTTGAGTGGAATTGATTTGTCTTTATTAGTTAAAATTTAGATTTATTTACTAACTAGACATGGGACCCGTGCATTGAGCGGCTATGTTTATTCAATATTTTTGAAATAAATTATAAACAAATTTATTCAAACTAAATAAACTAATTAGATTAAGACATAATAATTGTTAAATTATACAAATTTTAAAATAAGTATAAATTTTATATATATAAAGAGTTGTTTGTGTTAAGATAAAATTAATAATTGTACTTGACTACCTATATAACTATTAATATCAATTATAGATAGATGTCATTAAATCATTCATCCAACTTGAGAAGATCATCTGAATATTATATGGTATAATTATATTTTCAAGATCATCACCTTGTACAATTAATATTATTTTTACATACACGTCTTTGATATTCGATATCAATATTTTGTAGTAAATCATGTATAATACTTAAGATCACCTGAATATTATCATTATTTATCAAGATCAACTATTTAAATTTAAAATTTATATTGACTTTTCACAACTTTTATCCTCTGCATATTTATGGTAAATATTTGTAACAGCATCGATGATTTTCTTAAAGTGTGTGTCTACTTGATTACCATAAATTTCTTTTTAAAGATGTTTTACAATATCCATTTTGAATCGTGGATCCAATTTTACTATAATTACTAAAATCAAGTCAGAATTGTCCTAATACTGATCAAAATCTTTTCGAAAACATGATCCAGCGTGGAAATGGTAATGATTTTGACTTTTTTCCAACCGAACCAATTTCAAAAATATGTGACAAACCATTGGGAAATACACATTTGCGGTTTGTCTAGATCCTAACAAGTTCCCAACATCTTCTCTCAAATCTTTGTAACACTTGCCAACAGCTGTACAATAAAGTTACCTCATCCCAATCATCTTTTATAAAATTTATAGACTTGAAATCAGGATCTATATGCTCCAATTCACAAAATGCTTCTTTACATCCCAGTTCCCACTCAAGCATATTGCCTTTGGATTTGGACCACTTTGATGAAGGAACACTTTGAAGGTTACTGTTTTGCTCATGAACATAGCTTTTTCTACCTCATATTGAAAACTTAATTACATTTGATGACATGACATATATTGTTAGAGTAGGTACCTTAAAATCAATCAATTATTGTAAAATTTACTCTTTGTAATAATGTTCATTGATCAATAAAAGACATTTTATTCTATATTATGTAAATCATATTTTTATGTATTGATATATGTCCTTAGAATGCTAGAACCGTGACGATGGTATCAAGTGTTTCAAATCTTGGTAGTGAGAACCCTACGAGCACATATGGTGGCCATTCTAGAAATGTCTATAGCCCTAGTATTATTCTGACAAATGGCAGATATAATACAGTAAGGTTATCATAGTATTGAACGACCTTATTGAAAGGCAGTGACTAATCTCACTTGTCAAGGTTGTTTGCCGACAATCTAATGCAACACATGGGTGCTTGCTATAGACAAGTTCACTGGACTGACCCATTAGAGCATTCCATATAGATGGTAACCCTAGTGTCTATGGAATAAATCATCTAACAAATGGCGGTGCATGTGATCCTTAGACTTGAGATCACCGGAGCGCCTTTTGCACCGATTGGTATAATTTGACACTAGCCCAACATAGTTCTATTCATAGCTATCAATATGGTAGTGATTGGCTGTATCAAGGAGTGTATCAAGCTATAGTGGATTGACAGATGATTCATCACTCTCGGGTACGAAAAAAGTTATCTCACTGTATAATTCAGGAAATGGCAATGACAGTAAATCTGTGGCCACAGTGGGATTGAGTCGTTGCCCAATCTAATTTATTATTCCAGTCATTGGTCTAGTAACTGAATACAAACACGTCGAGAGTAGCTGAGGTTGACACTATTTATGTACCTCAGTCCCGATGAGATAACAGATGATGAAGGATTTTGATTGCACGGTAACCATATCGTTGACAGGTAGCTGTTCCATTGAATATGAATCTATCGGGTGGCCATAATATCTTGCTAAGGAACAATCTTGGTCTGTGTGTAGTGAGACGATTAATTGGTGTTAATCGCAATACTACTCACTGTCGGTATGATGAGGTGCGTACGGGTTACACACATAGAAGATAATTTAAGAATCAATTTGTGTAAGGGGGACTTTCGTTTTTTAGGACGAAATGCTATTTTGGTAATCTCATAGTGCAATTAAATTTGCTGAGGTTGTTGCCTATATTTAATTTAATGGTAAAATTAAATAAGTGAGATTATATTTAAATATATGTACTCATATATTTAAATGAATTATTATTATTAATTGAATATTAATATATTTCATAAATATATTAATTGACTTTAATTATAATAATAATTAATTTAAAATAAAAAATATCACAAGGGGTGTTTGGATACAAGATTGGAGTTATGCCTATTCCTCGTTGGAATAGGGTTTTGACACATGCACATGTGTGTTGGAGAATGATTTAATTAATTTATTCAACCAAA